CATTTCTTTTTGTAAATTTTTTATTTGTTCTAATTAGTTATACATGACAATTGAATGTGCTTTGATACATCATACATAAATGGAGTATAATTTCTCATTCTTCTGGTTATACATGATGTAGAATCACGACTGACACGCACTCACATATGCACATAGGGTAATAATGTCTGATTCATTCTACTATTCTTCCTACCCCATTCCTCTCTCCTCCCTTCACTCCCCTCCATCTAATCCAAAGTAACTTTATTCTTCCCTAGCCACCCCGCTTATTGTGAATTAGCCTCCATGTATCAGAAAGAACATTCAGCCTTTGGTTTTTTGGGATTAGCTTATTTCACATGATATTCTCTATCTCTATTCACTGGCAAATGCCATAATTTCATCCTTCTTTAAGACTGAGTAATATTCTTTATCCATTTATCTTTGAAGGACACTTAGGTTGGTTTTATAGTTTAGCTATTGTGAGTTGTTGTGGCTGCATCACTGTAGTATGTTGATTTTAAGTTCTGAACATTCTATCATATGGATGTACCACATTTATCCAATTGATTGACATTTGTTTCCACTTTTTAAAATTTACTATTATGAATGTTGCTGCTAATGCATATTTGTGTACAAGTTTTTGTTTGAACACCTGTTATCATTTCTTTTGGGTATGTATCTAGTAGTAGATTTGCTGATTCATATGATTACTTTCTGTTTAGCCTTTTTAGATGGCTAAACATTCCCACCAGCAATGTATGAGAGAGTTCTAATTCCTCTATAACCTCAACAATGCTTATTATTGTCTGTCTTTTGGACTGCAGTCATCCTAGTGGGTGTGAAATTGTATATTATTATGTTTTGATTTGCATTTTCTTCTTGAGCATATTTTCATGTGATTGTTGGCTTATTTGTATATCTTCTTTGGAGAAATACCTGGTCAGTTCCTTTAATTATTTTTAAATTGAGTTATTGCCTAATTGTTATTGAACAGTAAGAGTTCTTTATATATCTACTTAGAAATCTCTTAGCTGTATTATTTGCAAAATCTTCTATTCTCTAGGTAGTCGTTTCACTTTCTTAATAGCCTCCTTTGAAGCACAATAGGTTTTAATTTATTTTAATTTTGATGATGTCCACTTTTTTTCTTTTGTTGTATGTTCTTTTTGGGAGGGAGAGGTACTGGGGATTGAAAGGGACACTCAACTACTGAGCTACACCCCCAGCCCTATTTTGTATTTTTTATTTAAAGACAGGGTCTCACAGAGTTGCTTAGCAACTGGCTTTTGCTGAGGCTGGCTTTGAACTTGGGATCATCCCATCTCAGCCTCCTAAACTGTGTGATTACAGGCATGTGCCAACCTACCCAACTTTTTTATTATATGTTCTTTAGGTATATCTAAGAAACCATTGCCTCGCCCAAGATTTATATCTTTTTTTTCCCTGATAGTTTTGTAGTTTGAGCTCTTACATTTGAATCTTTGACTCAGGTTGAGTTAATTTTTTTTTTTTTTGGGTGGAGGTTGGCTCTGTTGCTTAGGCTGATCTTGAACTCCTGGGCTCAAATGATCCTCTTACCTCAGACTCCTGAATCTGGGACTATAGGCACGCACCACTGTGACTAGCTTAGTTAATTTTTGTATAATGTAAGAGTTAGAGGTCCAACTTCATTCTTTTTGCATGTGGATATTCAGTTGTCCCAGAACAATTTATTGAAAAAACTATTCTTTCTCCATTGAATTGTCTTAGCATTCTGGCCTATAATTGAGACTAGTTTAATGGTTTATTTCTGGATTTTCCATTTTTTCTTTTATCTGTACATCTATACTTATGTTAGTAACATATTGCATTGAGTAATATAGTTTTATGGCAAATTTTAAAATCAAAAAGTGTGAGTTCTCTAAATCTGTTTTTCTGTCTCAAAATTGTTTTGGCTAGCTGGGCAGGTGGCGCATGCTTATAATCCCAGTACCTGGGAGGCTTGGGCAGGAGGCTTGCAAGTTTGAAGCCAGCCTCAGCAACTTAGTGAGGCTCTAAGCAACTTAGAGTGATCCTGTCTCAAAATAAAAAATAATATTATAATAAAAAGATCTGGACAGACCCCAAAAGTCAAATGTTAAATGTTTTTTTCTGATAATGCAGAAGCTAATCCAAAACTGGGAGGGGGTGTAAAAAAAATAGATCAGTGGAGTGGATGAATGGGGAGGGAAGAGGAATGGGATAAGGAAAGAACAGTGGAATGTCTCTGACCTATTTTCCTATGTACATATATGAGTAAACCACAGTGAATCTCAGCATCATGTATATCCACAAGACATTAATTTTTAAAAAAAATATGTAAGTAAATAGCAGAAAGATCAGTAAATTAGAAGGAAGGGAATGCTGGGGGAGGAAATGAGAAGTACTGGGGACTGAATTATAACAAATTATATTCCATACTTTTATAATTTTGTCAAAATGAATCCTAATGTTATGCATAACAAAAAAGAACTGATAAGGGCTGGGGTTGTGGCTCAGTGGCAAAGTGCTTACCTAGCATGTGTGAGGTTCTGGGTTTGATCCTCAGCACCACATAAAAATTAACAAATAAGGGCTGGGGTTGTGGCTCAGTGGTAGAGCACTTGCCTAGCACGTGCAAAGCCCTGGGTTCAATTCTCAGCACCACATAAAAATAAGTAAACAATATAAAGGTATTGTGTCCAACTACAACTAAAAAATAAATATTTTTTTCTTAAAAATTAACAAAATAAAGACATTCTGTCCATTTACAAATACAAAAAATTAATAAATAAAAATAAAATAACTGATAAAAAGAAAAAAAAAGAAGAAGAAAGGCCTGGGGATGTGGCTCCGAGGTTAAGCACCTCTGTGTTTAATCCCTGGTACCAAAAAATTGTTTTGGCTACTTTGAGTCCCTTGAATTTCCAGAGTAATTTTAGGATCAGCTTGCAAATTTCTTCAGAAAAGCCAAATGGGATTTTGATAGGGACTGCATTGAATCTTTAGAGCAATTTGAGGATAATTGCCATCTTAATCATATTTAATCTTCCAATTCATTAACATGGGCTGTCTTTCCATCCTGTCTTTTTTAATTTTTTAACAATGTTGTGTAGTTGTCAGAGTGTAAGTTTTACGTTTCTTTTGAAAAATTTATTCTTAAGTATTTGATTATTTTTAATAAAATCTTAAATGGAATTCTCTTAATTTTTTTTTTTGGTTTGTCTATTGCTACTGTGTACAAATACAATTGATTTTTATACGTTGATCTTGGCCTTACAAACTTACTGAACTTTTTCATTAGTTCTCGCAGATTTTCAGTGAATTCCTTAGGGTTTTCTATATACCAGAACATGCCACCTGCAAATAGAGATAGTTTTACATCTTTTTTTCCAATCTGGAAATCTTAAATTGCATTTTCTTGTCTAATTGCCCTGATTAACATCACTGGTACAATGTTGAGTATAAGTGGTGAGAGAAGAATCCTTGTCTTGTTCCTGATCTTAGGAACAGGAGGAGAGCAGTCAGTGTTTCACCATTAAGTACAATGTTAGCTGCAGGCTTTTGTTTGTTTTTGGTTTTGGTGCTGGGGATTGAACACAGGGCTTTGCATGCTAATCCTACACTCTACCACGGAACTGTACCCTATCCCCTAGTTGTGGGGTTTTTGTACATATCCTATATCAGGCTAAGGAAGCTACCTTCTCTTCCTGGTTTTTCAAGTGTTTTTATCATGAAGGCTGTTGAATTTTGTCAAATGTTTTTTTCTGTGTCTATTGAGATGATCATGTGGGTTTTGTCCTGTTAATAGGATATATTTCATTAGATGAATCTTGACTGTAATTTGTTTTTACCTTTTAATTCGACTTCCCATTCCTTGTTCTTTAGCAATCAGAGGACCCTGGAGGAATGCACTAAGTGACCTCTGCAATGGATGCAATACAGGGCTTAGATGTTGATGTTGGTTGGTTCTGTGTAAAAATTTCAATTTCAGGACTTTGTACCTCATCAAAAGTCCTAGCGATGCTTATTTAGGATTTTTTTTTTGGTTTGGTATTATTGAATGGTATAAATGTAAAACAAATTTTTGGGTGTTCTTATGTAACTCAACCTTATAAGTTCATGACGCTATTTTGACAGTATATGTGGTACAGTTTCGTATCATAGGCACAAATTTTGGAGGCCCCAATTTAACTATATTATTTATATTCTTTTTAGAAATGATGAACATTGTGTGCAGGATGAAGTGTTTAGCTGCTATTTCTGGCAATTGCAATTATTATCAATGTATTTTGCCTTTGAAAATGTGTATATCCCCCACTTTCTTCCTTCAACATACCATGATTTGTTTCACAGTTTGTATTTTCATCATGTCCCTATTTTATAATGTATGTTCACATTAATTGCAGTTTCTTTCTCTTGAACACATTTTTCTTTTCCATGTGGGTTCCTTCCCTCAGTTGCACTGTCATTTTCATTGATGATGCATCTGTTAATTAATATTTCTTCTTTGAATGCCTGCCCTTTTGTTCTTGATTTTGCAGTTCAGCTCTATTTTTTTTAAATTTTAGCTCTAATTGTGATATTTCTTTTCTGGCTTCTATTGCTCTGTGACCTTCTGTGACTTATTTGTAATATTTATATTTTTATAAAATTGACAGGCCATCCTCTGCCATCAGTGACAATTAACACATAAATGTATCTTTAAAATAGTTTAGAAAAAGTAGCTATTTTTGTGGTTAGTATATGAATCACCTTTCTAAATTCATAGTAAGGTCTTGGATTCCTAGAACATGTCGCTTATAGGCAAACATAAAATTTTAGTTAGTCTTTATTATGGCAAAATATACATAATATAAAACTCACCATACACAACTATTGCTAAGTGTGTAGTTCTGTGGTATTAAGTACATTCACATTGTTCTGCAACTATGAAATTTTTAAAGTGAAAAAATTCATTTCTTTTGATTTCCCCCTTATTGCCTCTTTTTTTCTGTTGACTGCCTTTCCTTTTCTTTTAGATGCTGAAGATTTCCTGGCAGAAGGCTTGAGAAATGAGAACCTCAGTGCTGGTGCAAGGGAGTGCAGAGACCATATTCTACGGGGCTTTCAGCAAATCAAAGCTAGGTTTGTAAAAATCAGTTCCATTATGCTTCCTTGAAAGCTTTGAAACAATTTATTACTAATAAACTCTAATAGTGTGTAAATTAACAAAGTGAAATACACTGGTGATAGTCCTTTATCTGGCAGAAGCTTAATATTTACTTAAATTGAATTTGAGACAGACAAGCATATGGTACTTTACCAAATAAAAATATTTTAATAATTACGTATTTAAGATGATTACTCTGCTTTTAGCTTTGGAATTTTATGTTGGCTTTTATTGAACACTCTATGCTTAACAGGAAAGAAAGACAAGGAAAGCTAAGCATTTATGCTGGTCCAAATTACTAAAGGGAAGGTGTTAGGCAACGTGGGGTAATTTTCAGTGTATTTTTGTTACCGATTTTACTTTGACATCTTCTTCTCTAATGAAAACTTAAGGCAGATTTGTTCAGTTGATTCTTTGACCATGTTGGAATGTTTCCGTTCCAGACTGGTTGAAATATCATACTTATTAAGTTTTTAAAATAAGAGATCTTGATCTAATTTGTGCACCTTAGAATGTGAGCACCTGAAGGTGTATGCACTTGCTAGAAGGGAAATAAAAATTTTCTTTTACAAAATATTTTCCAACCACCTTTTGCTTGAACTGTGGCCACTGAACAAGAGTTGGGGATGAGTGTTACTTTGGCTTTTTCCAACCCGAGGTGGTATGATTCAGAATGTTCAAACTGGGAACTCTTTGAGAGCATCTGCAGGGTTATGGCTGGGATTTAATTTGTGTGGCCACCCGTTCTTAGTTTCTACTTTTAAAACCTCATTGCAACTCCTTAGAAGCAGGGAATTTTATCCTTTGGAAGGGCACAGCCAGAGTCTATTCCCTCCAGGAATGTGAGAGAACCTCACGAGATGCCCTGCTGGATCTTAATCGATCTTTCCTGCTGGCTAATTAAGCATCACTTTTACTCAGCAACTGGGGACTGTGTAATTATCAGCCTGGGTTGCCCTGAATAATTGAAACAAACAGAATGCAGAAGATGGGAGTTTTTTGCAAAAGTGGGAAATGTCTATAATTTCTTGGTAGACTGAAAGGACATTGAAAACAAACTTTTGTACAATGTTACTTCACTAGTAGACAGTTTAGGCTTAGTTAGTAACCCACATGGAGGCTTAGTTAGTAACCCAGAGAATTTTTTATTTTCACAAATTTGTGTTTGTACTATATAGGATTACTGTAAGTACAGTATGAGGAGTAAAAGAATTATTTTAAATTGTATTATATGGAGGGGGATTTATATTACTAGAACCCCCCCCCCATATCCACCTAAATATATTTAAGGATAAGGGATGTAAAAACAATTTTGCTGCAGCAATAAGGACAAATGAACAATGAGGAGGAATTCTTCTTTCCCATATTGGGAAAAGTCTAAATTTAAACCTTAACTGTGTAATAAAAGGCAAATTTTTTATCATTCATTACTGTTGGTTGCATATTACTCCTTGATGTGTGTGTGCAGCACTGGTGGTTGAACACAGGGCCTTATGCACGCTAGGCAAGTGCTCTACCACGGAGCTATGATCCCAGCTCTGTATATTACTTCTTATCCTCTTTTGAAATGCATACGCACATGTGCATATGCACAGACACATAGAAACCTTATTTCTCATGGAGTAGAGAAGCTTCCTTATGCTTAAACAGTATCCGGCGTGGTTTGTGGGGTAGACACTCAGGAAATAATCAGCATGAGCTTTAGGAAACATCTGCATTGTTGATGAGAGCTTTCTGTTCATTGATTTGTTGCAAGAAAGATGACACTTTATTTAGAATTTCATAATTATCAGATCACTGAGGAAATGAGGAGCCAGAAATTAAACTGTGCAAGAAAATGGAAAGAGGCGGCTTTCCTTTGGCAAGCTATTTGAAATAGCCTTACCTCTACCCCTTTGTTATTATCATCATTAGTGTAACCCTTGCTTAACCAAATCCTCTTCTTTATTTATGGCTAGTTAACATGATGCACTTTCATGTATTAATTTCAGTTGTTTTGAAAAATATTGAAATCTTGCAAAATATTGGTCATATTATTTTATGTGGCAATTATATATATATCCCCAAAAGCTGGGTGTGAGAGAAATTTGGAAGCCATCAAATTTGAGAACTAATTATCTATGATAAATGGTGAGTAACATGGAAAAAAATTTCAAAGTCATTTGAAAATTTTCATTTTTAATCATATTAAAACAACAGTATGTTAGGGGGTTGGTAAATTTTGAGGGTAAGAAGTTATTTAACACTATAATTTGTTACTCCAGTGTTTATTTGGAAGGTTGGTAGAAAATTGCTAGCACAATAATCTTGGAAAGTTACTAGATAAATATAAATACTGCATATATTTACAACTTTGTTTTCTTACTTTAGTCCTTTAATTCTTTCTTCAACACTGTATTGCTGGGGAGTGGAAAATGGTGAAGAGAAGTAAAAATAGCACTGCCTCTGATTCTTAGTAAATTTGGGGGCTTGGCCCTATTTTTTACGGCTGGCTCAGAATTCAGTGGTGTTTGCCATGGTTGTGGACCTGCTGTAAATTGAAGTGTCTGATGTCATCGCTGCTATTATAATATGCCATTTGCCACCTTTCTGTTGTCTAGGGTGACTGACAGGAGGAAATAATGATTGTGTCAAGAGTCACAGGTGTTCTCCAAATTCTCATTTGTTTTTTCAGTACAAGTAGCTTACCCATTCTTTCTTCCTAGGCTTAATGACAAAAAATAAAATAATATGGAATCTGTGTCTAGAGCTACATCCTCCCTCCCCCACCCCTAATTTGAAAGTATTTCCAAGGAAGGATAATGTTTTCAATATAAGACAAAACAAAAATGGATGGCAATTTCTGTGATTCCAAGAAAGTGAAACCCCGTTGTGGTATTTGATGTCCTGAGCTGTGATTTTCGTTGCTAGTCTTCAAATTGTTTTCTCACTTAAACCTTCTCCCTAAACAAAACAAAACAAAAAAACTAACAGGGATGGAGTTGTGGCTCGGTGGTAGAGCATTTTCCTGGCATGTGTGAGCCCCTGGGTTTAATCCTCAGCAGCACATATAAATAAGTAAATAAAATAAAAGATCCATTTACAACTAAAAACTATTAAAAAACAAAAACAAACAAACAAAAAAAAAACTAACAACTTTCACATTCCGAGTCCAGGTTTTCATTGAGCTCTTTAGAAAATGCTTGGGATGAAAGCAGACAAAGACTCCTCCTGCTTTATGATGGTGGTCACTGCAGGATCAGCTCCAGATGTGAGACACCTGGCACAGAGCAGGCATAAGCTATACCCAGAAAACTGACGACGTTCTCACTTGCTTGGAGAAACAGTAGAGTGTTTCTTAAATGTTTGATCCTGTGGAGGCTGCCTGACAGCAATAATGCATTGAGAATGGGGGAAGGGATGAAGAATATAGAATATTTTTATTATGGAGGTAGGGATAAATTCTCTCTTGATGGCCCTTTTTGGCACAAGGAGTCATTTATATTCCCTGTTGGAAGTCAAGGCCTAAGCCAATGGAAACAAACTTGTGTATTGTTTCCTTCTGTGAAACTTAATAATGCTAAGGAGTTCCAAAAAGAGACAAGTAGATTTATAGGATACTGAAATGGAAAAAAAAGAAAATAAAGAAATAACTTTGTGTAGCAGGGATTATGGCACAAACCCCAGAATATTTAAAGTACAAGCAGAAAGAATATCTTGAACGTGTTTCGTCGTAGGTGACTTGGCTGTTGCTCTGCATGAAACACGATATGCTAGTTCAAATCTCATGAAAAGAATGCTGACTTTGGGGATTTTGGTTTTCTTTTCTGCTTAACATGGAGTTAGTTTTTAAAATTAGATTTAACCTTAATAATGGATATATAAACTCTGATATCTTCACATTTAGTCTGGTAAAACTTGGGAGGAAGAGTTTTAAAGTAGCATACTGTAAATCTCATATTGTTAATTACATAGAATTTTACTTTTCATAACTGCTGGTTATTGAGCTTAAAAACTCCCAGAACAAAACATATTCAAATGAAGCATGCTCATTAAGAGAACGAATATTTTATGTGCTAATGTGCTATTGGTACATTTGTGTTACTCATAAGTTTAAAGATTCGCTCATAACATCTCTTTCTGTTCTTTAATTTTGTTATTTATCCTGGAGTTTCAGTGCCAATGCAGAAAAAAAAAAGAGTAGGAGATACTTGCATGATGATTCATCTAAGTTTAAATAGCTCTGGAAGACTTAAAAGTCATAGCAATAATTGTAGTACTTCTTGAAGGTTAATATTCATTTTTTTTTTCTTTTTTCGCTTTATTCCTCCCTCTTACCCTTAAAAAAAAATTAAAGAAGGACTGGGGACATAACTCAGTGGTAGAGTGCTTGCTTCAAATGTATGAGTCTGTGAGTTAAATGCCAAATCTCTGTACTAGTTTTCTGTTATTCAGTGAGTGTATGTAGAGATTTCACAATTGTGAATGAGGGTTACATTTCATTGCTCTTATAGTCTAAAATATTCTACAGGTGAGACTTATACAATATTACCTGTTGCTGGTTTTTTGGCTTCACTTTAGGATCCAAGAAGAAAGATTATCTGATTATGTGTTTTTCTAAGTTTCTGTACTTTCAAAGCAGCCTCGAAATGTGCAATTCTCCCTTTCATTTTATGATGATGATGATTTTTTTTTCACTTGTGGGGGTATTTTGGGTTTGGTACCAAGATTAAATTGTTTCATTTTTTTTTTTTTTTACATTGGGCTATGTGGTGGTATTAGTAGGTGGAAACTTCTCCCTCTGGCATCCTATAAAATAAATATTTTGTGTAAGTAATTCTGACATGTAATAATATTTCATATTTTTCATGCTAAGTAACAGGTGGATTTTTAAAAAAGTTTGGATGAAAGAATTTATTCCTCTCAAAACTTTTTATTGAAAAAGCAAGAAAAAAATTCTCAGATAATAATTTTTTCTATGTATTAAAAAGCATAG